TAGTAAGCACATTTTTTAAATTTAGATTTCCATCCAATGCATTATCTTGAATTTAATGTTTGCCAAGTAACATGCTTAGGTTTTTATTGTATGTCTGTTAAAAACTACTCTTTATGGAGCTATTAATGTAGCCTGACTAAAAGCTTTTAAATAGCATTTTGTTAGATATCAAATGAATTTGCTTAGGCTATGGACTAGGGATCCATTCAGCTCCTGCCTTACAGAGAAGCGTCCTCATAACATGTTTTCAGGTGCTGACATCAATAAGTCCAAGAGGTGTATTGAATCCAGCCCAAATGAAAAGCTTGAGCTACTATTCTTGCATGTGGAGTAAATCCAGCTCATTGCCTTGTAGTTTACCTCTTGAGTTGAAATGCAGTAATATTAAAAAAAAATTGAAGTAAGTTAGGCCAAGTCTATTCTAGGACTCAGTGGATTTTACAATACAACTCCTGTCTGTAGTATTTCTCTGGGGAGGAAAACCGCTTTAAATTTAAGGCTGCTCTCTTATGGGATAGGAAATGACAACAGGGAATACCTCCGAACAGGTCTACAAAGTAGACATTTCTGAATGGCTGGAAACCAGTCCTAAATGTAACTTTCCCCTGTAACAAATTCTCATTTAAATACACCATTTATTTAGATAAATTAACTCCCAATAAGACCTCTTTCAGGCTACTTATTTCAGTCTTCTCTTCCAGGCATAAAAAATGGGGCAGCTAAACCAACATTGCGTATATTTGCAACTGTAATTTGCATTGTTTTTTAGTTCCAAGTGCTGGCCTTTCAAATGGACATGTTACCTAAAGATAAATCCCTAGATTTCCGCCCTTCTTTCTAGCATCTAATTCCCTAGCATCTAATTCAGTACTCCTAAACTAGATGCTAGGGAGCATCTTGGTGAGATTTGTGTGTTCGAAAAGCATTTTAGGCCTCAGTGAAGCCCAACTTGTAACACCAGCTAAAACAAACTAAGCAACTGTCCAATCAAGGACAATATGCCTCACTTCCAGTTACTTTCATCTGGGTTCTTAACTTACAAACCCCACTTAAATCAAAGAGGCATACGTGACCCTTCTAAATATGGATATTATGCTGTATGGCAAGCAAGAGGAACATACGTCCAGTGAAATGAGAACCCAGACTAGGTATCCTGAAGCAAGACCCCAAAACTTTGGTGGAACCTCTCTCTACATATGTCCAGAAAGGAGCCCTGAGATGCAAGTCTTGGTACGTTAGCCAGGGACAGTAGTCAGGATCAGCCTTTTTCAAAGGAAGACTTCTACATAACAGAAGGGTCTTTTATGTTAAACCTAATGTTTCAGCATTAATTTGGGGTGGGGGTGGGGCTTAGCTTATTGTGAGAACTCAGCATGCTTGTTCAGCTTGTCATTCAATCTTTATTGTACAAACTCAAACAGGAAATGATTGATTCAGTCATAGGTTAAGTGGGCTGCATATATGCAGGCATTAGAATCTGATTAGAGTCTGGTTCCAGCTTCCCATATAACTACATGCATAAGCTGGTCCTATAACTTTAAGTATCCTGATTTTAAACAGAAACTGAAAACTAAATCTCCATGAAAATGCTTCCAATATGCAATCCCAATCAAATGGGGGGGGGGGGGGGAAATGCCCTCCAGATCAGGGGTCTCCAACCTTAGCAACTTTAAGACTTGTGGACTTTAACTCCCAGAATTCCTCAGCCAGCTTTGGGAGTTGAAGTCCACAAGTCTTAAAGTTCCCAAGGTTGGAGACCCCTGCTCCAGATGACTACCACTGGGATATCCTCACAGGCTGAAATGTCACCATTCAGAAACAAAAAGAAAAATATGTGTTTTCCATAAGACTTATTTGCATATAATAACTCTTGTAAATTAGTACTTTTGCTTACATATCCCACTTTGGCTGATTCCCCCAACACAAGACACTGGATTAAACCGAGATGTGAATAGTTTTAGAATATTGTTAAGCTTGCTGTGCATCGTATTAAATCACAATATGACTTATTCTGTTGGCAAAAGAAAGTCACCTGGTATAGTAATTGTCTTTCATTGCTTTGGGATCAGGGTTAAACTTTGTGTAGAAATTCAGTCATAAATCACAAAAAAGACAAGTAAATCCCATTCAAGGGGTTTTACTCTGAGCAAATAAGGGTATAGGACTGAAACCCAATCACAGAAACTTATCAGCATTAATTATGCAGAAGCAAATGTGGCAGAACATGGTATAAGATCACAAGCTTTGCGTGCCTTCTGTTGCCATCAATCCCAACTAGTAAGAAAGGTGCCAAGACACTGAAATTACATCTAATATGGGAAATGATTCCATGTTTCAGCAACTATGCAGCTGGGAATGATTGATTGCTTCATATATTATTTCTTTAAATTTGTTAATCAAGAACTCCATTAAAGTTTTACAGGTTTTTTTTTCTTCCCATCCTATTTCTATCCTTGTTGCTCTTTCCCACCAATACGGCTTGTATGGAAGATGGTCAACAGTAGTAGTAGGAATAAGAATTCTACTTTCTATTATTACACTTCTTTTGTGCATTATTATACACATACAGAGATCCATTTCTGTTCAAAGTACATGGAATTAGATGGGAAACTATTGCCTGATTCATAGTGATCCTGACTAACAAAGTAAATTCAGTAAATCCAATTTACTTTATGATGCTCATACTCAAGAGGGCTTGAAACGTGATCCTGAGCACCTACTGATAAGCTCCAACTGATTACAGAGTAGAATTTCCACCCTTTCTATACCTGGCCTGAGGCAAGATGATAAATAGGCAATTAAGACTATATCTAGCAAGAAAGCAAACTGTTTCCTTTGGACTGGATTAAAGGAGCAGGAACATATGGCCTTCTATATATTATACACTTACTATGCTGGTGGAGGATAGATAATCCCCTCTGTAAACAAATTCAAGGAAAATAAATTGAGCTGTGATAAATAACAGATAATTCAATGAGAAGAATTTGTCGATTTGTCTCATCACATTAGTTCTTTTCATTGTTCACTTTAGAATAGGAATGTCCATGTTGAATGACAACATACCTTTTGATACTAAGTGGGGATAAATCATAAAGTATTCATCTCACTTTGAATTTCAGTTGAGGATGGATTATTAAACCTTGCACCCTTAATAGAAATTACCTTTTGCCTATTTTTTCTGAAAATGCTCCTATATCCTTCATGTTTTGCAATTCTCAGGAATAACTATGATCTCAGCAGCAATATAGCAGCGACAAAACATGTGACTTGTAGTGTGGCTGCAAAAAACCTTAATTTATACATCATATACTGTATATGTGAAATGGTGAAGCAGAGGTGGATCCTAAACTGCTTAATAAAACAATTCTGTGATTTGGTTGTATAAATAGTATGAGTCATTTGGGCTGTCTAAGTAGCATAGCTGAGATTTCAAAAGAACATTATGATCCAAGACAAATTTAGATAAATTACAGTGGTGCAATATAATTCTTACAAGAATGTCAGGAAAAGGGTTTTGGTTTAAAAGAAAAATCAAAGGTTCAAATTCCAGATTAAGTCCCACAAGATTTAACTGTTGCTAGTTTATAGATCCCAGGATTCCTGGGATCCCTGATTTCAACTTTTACTCTAAAGCATAGATGCAAAACCTCTGGATCAGGAATTGCTTGCATCCTGCCAACACCTTTAGTGGCTCCTGCATACTTCCCAAAGGCTACAATTTGTGTATATGGGTATGCATGTATGTTTTGGGAGTGGGGGGGGGCGGTGGCGATCCTGTGGAAAAATTTCCAATGGAGAGATCATCTTATTTCCAGTGACTTGAAAAAGTCATTCATAAATTTTCTTTCATAATATTCAGTCTGGTTTCTACATCTGCTAGAACTATTCGCAAAAGTGGAAATAAAATCAACATAGCAGATTATATACAGATTGTAAATATATCATAGGTAGCAATATTAGTGTGTACCTTCCCTTCTCTTATTGTAAAAATATCCTTTATTGTACATATATCTATCCCTTCATTTTATTCCCCCATTTCAACATGAAAGGCTGAGCTGTATTCCATCAAAGATTAACTTTGTTTCCTGAGGCTTGAACACAGCTAAATATTATCTTCATTAATGCAAAAAAAAAAAAAAAAAAGTCTGTACAACCATCTAGCAACTACTACTGCCAGTGAAAGAAAACCATATTTACTTTCTGGCACTTTTTACTTCTCTTTACCCTGATGTTTACTATTATTGTTGTTCTACATTAGTTTTTTTAAAATCTTAGATGAGAGTTCAATCTGTAATGAATCTATTCATTTTTAAAATGTAGCAAAACTCTTAATATTATTCTCAAATTCAGCTGCCTCATTAAATTGGATGCTGTTAGTGAAATAGTGGAGGATGAATTAAAAAGAGTCAGTTTTGTCCTATCTCTTATTCCCCAGACCCAATTTATTCCTAAATACACTGTTTGCAATGATGTTTCTTTCCTTTTCAGATGAATGTGCAGAAGGAGCAAAATGCTTGGAGAGGAAGGAACTTTATGCTTTGTTGCTTTATTACCAACTAAGTTTCAAATAATTGGGATTGGAATTGCATTTGTATCTTAATTTCCAGTTTCAGACTGACTTTTCTGAAGAACCCAACAATGGAGAGCATAAATTACTTGTGGAGGGGAACTGCCTTTTTCTTTTCTTTTGGCTATGACTATTTTGAAATTAACTTTTCCCCTATTCAAAGCAAATTTAAGTAAGAAACATGAGCATGCCTGAATCTTTAACCAAATGATATAATTATGCAGATGCTCTTTCCAAAGTATACCAAAGTAGGTGGAACCCAACCCTATGCATTTAGAAATAAATTTCATGGAGATACAGACTGTTAAAATGAATATACAAGGGACGCAGCTATTAAGTTGCTTGGAAACCATATCCGTGTGTTCACCTCCATTAAATTAATCTGCATTTTCCTCTATGTGTTGGCATTCTACCTTTAGCTCCAAATTTTATTTAGTGGATTTTTAAGTGCCATTTGCTTCTCACCAAGCCATTCACTGTAACTACAGAAATTAAATGCAGAGCCTGATATGAAATCCTTGCTTTTCAATATATAAATAGGGAAATTTAAAATCCCTGAAAGGGTTGCTTTCCTATACTACAACTTTGGTTTTCATTCAGGAAAAATTTGGAACAAACTTTGCCTACCCTTCTTCAAAGTATTTATTACACACCATCCTATGGGGGACACAGAACTTGGAGATTTGGGGAGAAGGTGAATCCATGCTCAGGTGAGGCAGGTAAGTTAGAATCAGCAACTCAGCTGTCAGACCATTAAGGCAACTAGCCTACTTTTGCCGTGAACAAAAATACCCGTTAAAATGTTAAGAAACTCTTTATTTACAATCCACTTTTCTCCAACTTCCTCCAAGTCATTTGGCAAAAGCAACCATTTGCCAGGGGCGAGGGAGCCCGAGGAGAATAGAAGGCTGCAAAAGCCAACCTCCCCACCCCCCCGCTTTGGCCTTTGCTAAGCTCCTCCAACCAGAAGCCTTCGTGGCCTGGGGACTTTTTGCTGGGAAGGCGCCCAACTTCCCTACCTGAGTGGACCCGTTCAGGGCGCGCCATCTGGAGGCCTGCAGGATCACCTCTGGGCCGCCCCGTGTCTTTTGGGGAGCCTCCCCCCCCGCACACTCCATATAGGGACAGGGCCCCGATTCCGAAGGTAAGCCCAGCTCCACCCGCTGTTCAAAGTCAATTCCCCCGGAACCCATTCAGGAGCGCTCCGCCCACACTAGGAGTTAGTATCCCGCATCCAAGAGGGTTGTCAGGCTGGGCCCTCGGAGCTGGAGCCGAAAGGAGGCCATCACGGAGAGTCCCGCAGGCAAAACGAAGGCTCGGGGCACCGCAGAGGCTCTCGGCCTTGCTCCAGGCCTGGGAGAGCAGGTGGCGCCTCGGGGTGAGCTGCGGTCTCTGAACCGGCGGGTGGGTGCACCTCCGACATGTGCCGCTGCATGGCCTGATCGGGGGTAGCTCCGGCCTCAGTCCGTTCCGCGTCGCTACCGAGCTCCAGATCCAGGGATTCTGCCTCGCTGCTGTCGCTCTCGCCTTCCGAGTGGCTCGGGCTGCGCTCGAGCTCACCTTCGCCCGCTGGCCCAGGCCCGAGAGCCGCTCCGGCTGCAGCCACCTTCTCGGCCGGCTCTTTCTCTTTGTCTTTCTGCGCCTGCGCCTCTTTGGAATGTCGCCACTTCATGCGCCGGTTCTGGAACCAGACTTTCACCTGTGGGCACATTTATTTATGTATTGATTAATTAATCTCGCCCTGAGGCCACTCTAGGCGGCATACAATAATGAAAAGGAAGAAAAATGAAAGGGCGTGTAAACGGAACACAAGTAAACTATGACAAAGGAACACAGCGAGAATAAATACACCAATATGATAACAAAAAGATTGATTGACAAAGCAAAGGGTTGGGGAGAGGAGAGACAAATAAAGAAGAGAGGAGAGGCTCAAAATTAACTCGGGCTAGACAGGCATTTGCTCCATTTTGTAATAGTTCCCCTCCCTGGTCTGGGATAACTTTTTTTCTAAGAGTGAAATATTCTAGTTCTTCCTGGATATAGAAATAAGTGCACAATACAGTAATTCGGGAAGGATTGTCTTTTCAAATGAAAATGTAGGGCCGTTTTCCAACCATTGTTGGGCTTTATATCACCTCAGGGATGGAAGGTGCTGCCTAGGGTGGAGGTGCTTTTGGTAGGGAGAGAAGCAGTTCACAATTGCTGGACATTTGGGGAGTCTCACCCTAGGGTTCAGTAAATTTGATTAGTGGTTAAGGCACCAGGCTAGAACAAGGAGAGTTGGGTGATCTTGAGCTCTCTCTGTGTCTAGGAAAGAGACAGTGGCAAAGCACTTCCCACAATCTTGCCCCAAAAAACCCTGCAGGGATGTGCTCGGGTAGCTGTCAGAAGTCAAGACTAGCTGAAAGCACCACAACAACTACTTCAAGTGTTCATGCTACCTGAGCAGAATGTCATCCATTCCTCTCTGCCTCTTTTCTTCCTGATAAAATCTGGAGGTTGGGCTCACTTTCCTGGGTCCTCTTAAAACATTAGCAACATAATTGTTCAGACCTCACAAAGGAGATGGGTTCCAAAGTTTAATTCAGGATTTAAAGTTGGGCACATGCCCCCTCTCCCAGTCCCTTTCCATGCAAGCTAATAAAGGGAATTGGGTAAAGCTGAATCTGTGCTAATGGAGTGCTAATTCATTGTTTTGCCTTTCCTTGTACTGGCGCTATCAAGGTCGCTGACATTAGTGGACAAAAAAGGCATAAGAGAGGAAAAGGAAAATGCCTTGGATTTTCAATAATAATAATAATAATGTATCAATGGGGGAATGAAATTGCTGAACTCCCTAGTTTTTCCTTCCCATCTAAGTACTTCACAAATTTTTAATCCTGCTGTTTCTAAGAGTGAGCCCAGCCTTTTTCTGCAGAAATATTTGCAGGCAAAGTCACTAGTTTAGATTTTCTTAATAAAACTGAGTTGCTATAGGCTTAGAGAGATATGCAGAGACAGAAGAACTGGGTCTTTCTCTGCTCTCCAGCTACAACAAAATTACATACATTCTTTAATTTGTACAATGCATTTTAGATATTAAAATTACAAAGTCTCCTTTCATTTCTTAGTTCTCCATTCCATTTTTCTTGTTAAAATCTGGGTGGTCTACAGGTGATTGAGGCTGGAATGTTAACCAAATAGCCCTGGCTTTTTAAATTCTGGAAACTAGCAAGGAATGTGCCTCAGCCTGATTTTACTTCAGCGACTGGAGTTCCTTTCCACTTCCAACAGGAGGATCAAGTATATGTAATCTGACAATTTATCACATTTATACCTACATTTTAAAAAAAACATTTAAACATTTTAAAACAAAATAACATTGATATTGGATCTGCTTTTATAATTTTCCTGGCACTTCCATCACTACATTTTTATTTTATTTTGTTAATATAAAAAAGGTATCATTCCTAATGATTCCAAGAGGGGCCATCTTGATAGCATATGTAGCTTGGTAACTAATCTTAACACTGATTCTAAAACAAATGGAGGGATCTGGTTAAAGTTGTCAACTTGGTTTTCAAAGAAAGAGGTTAAGGCAGTATCTATTTACCATGGAGAAAATCCAGTTAACTCAGTGGAAATTACTTCTCAGAAGCCATTTGTAGCATTGCACAATTAAATAATTCAAGTGAGTTCAGGAAAATTAAGAATATGTCTGCTTTCCCAGAGATATTTTTTTACAAATAAGGTACAATATGTTTGTGTGTCTGTCCAAAGAAAAGATACTAAAATAAGTAAAAACAGAGAATATTTTCTATGATTAAATATTATTCTACTGTCTACCCCATCCCACCTTTTCTTTATAGGAACCTCCAATATCCACCACCATTGACTAGCCTGGCTGGAATTGCTGGGAAATGTAGTTCAGCCAGCCATTATTATACATCCACAGATTTCTCGTGTCTGTGATATGATTGAATCTGGATGATAAATCAAGGTTTATATGTGGTAATAAGAATCACATTTTTGCTGAACAAGGAATGTCTTTTGAATCCACAGGGCTGCTAGGAGAATAGTATTGGCATTTTCCTACAGTTTACACTTTAGTTACAGAAAGTGCCCGGAAATTTTCCTTCCTTAAAAAAAAAGACTTCTCGGCTTATAAACTTCAACCCACACTCAGCCAGAATGAGCATTTGTGAATGAACTGGAAGAAAACAGAGATCCCTTCTCACCCAGTGTGATTGAAAACTCCGGTGGGGGGGGGGGGGACTTACATTTGTCCAATTTCTCCTATTATATCAATAGAAGAAAAAAATATGAAGCTCAGGACTAAACTGCGGACTAAGTTCCACAGGATTAGGCCGGAGTCAATGGCAGTTGTCCCTATTTTTGGTTTCTTCTCAGCCAGTTGTCCCTTCTTCCTTGCTGGCACTTCCTAGCAGCCAAAATAAACACTTCGGCTGTAATGACAGATCAATCTCGGACCTAATTTATGGTCCTGCTAGACGTGTTATTTACTGCCTTGTCTTACTCAGGACGAAGACATGTAGAAACAAATTGCTTATGTTGCACCCAGAGGTTGGTGGGGGAAGGGTGGTTAAGTTGTTCTTTTCTGCCCTGCAGGCGCCTCTCCCACACATAAAACACTGTCCACTTAAACCACCTTCTGCAAACAAGATCTACCGAGTTTAACAGCTTATTTAATTGATCTTTATTTTTGTTCCCCAATACATTGAACCATAAAATAGTTAGGTTATGCAACATTCCATCATGTACACACTTACAGACCCACAAAATCTAAGCAAGGTTAAAATTAGGCTTAACATGTTGGCTAATAGTTGCTTGATTTGTAACTGGTGTGGTTATTGCACAAACATACACTCTGTTCAGTAAGGGCGTGCAGATGTTACATGACAAATTTGGGAGGCAGTGTTTCATCTTCTCTGAAGATGGATAAATATGAAGGAGGTTGTTAACAGGTATGTAAGAAGTCCATTTCACATCCAATTTCCTGAATTCAAGGACTGGTGACTGAATTCAGCCATGAATCTTAACCAAATCAGGCAAAATCTTAAGGGCTGCAGTTGCACAACACCATTAACCCGCTACACTGAATTAAATTTATTATTTTTGTTTATGACTTGCTGTGCTGTGCAAATGTGTCCTGATGATTTAGCTGCCCAGCTCCATGTATTCTGCCAACCCAACTGAAATAATGCTATGGTAGTGAGGCTGTTGAAATGTTGAAACCAGCAGAAATTATTTTGGTATAAGCGAGGAATAAAAACACTTTCAGTAATATGTTACTGTAGAACCACTGTATAGGATTCAGTGTTCCTCCTCTGGAAACGTTTGTCCAGTGAGTAAGAAATCGGGATACCACACAGCACTTATGGGTGTTTTGCATGAAAGGTGACGTGTTAAATATAGGAGCATGTGGGTTTTATTTCTTTGCTAAGGTGACAGATTTCCTTTGCTTTAAATAATTAGCATTTAAACTTTAACAAATAATAGCCTGTGGAAGGATGAGATTTATAATAGACGTCCAAGCAGAATCACAGCTAAATTGCTCAATCGGGTTTGTGGCTACAGATAAATTAGTCAAAAGGGGTTTTTTTTTTAGTAGGAAAAAAAAATCCTTACTTGAGCATCTGTGAGCCCTAACATGGCGGCCAATTGTTTTCTGTCCGGTTTGGTGACATATTTCTGGATTTCAAAGCGTTTCTCCAACCCTTTTCTTTGGAGATTAGAAAAAACTGCCCGGGACCACGAGCGTTTCCGTTTGTAGGTCTGAGGCAGCGTGTCTTTCGTAAGCACCGCATACGGACCTGGAAGGTTGAACAAAAAAAGAGGAAGAGACAGGCATTTAAGGAGCTGATCATGAGTGGATAAAAGTCGAATCCCCGCCGCCCCACTTGCAGGGAAAGCACGTCCAAGGGGGCTAACTTTCCAAGAAACTCTCCAGTAGAAGCCGGCTGCTAAGAATAGCTCCGTTCCTGTAGTCAAGGATCACTAATCTTGTCTTTCAGTGGTTGCAAAAGAACCCTGTGCTGCTGCCGCTGCTGCGCCTGAAATAACGCGGCCCGCCCCAACAATTCCTTCTTTCTTTGGACTGTCTTATGCTGCTGGATCGCTAGTCTATTTAACGCCTCTCTAAGGATTCCTTGGCTCTGATTCTCCTTGAAAGTCAGCGCCTTTACCCTCGATCTTCCAGATGTTGCTAAATTTCTTGGCCACGTTAACAAGCCCAGCCTTCCAAAATTATAGCCCCGAGAGGATGTCAGTTAAGTCAGGAGCAAAGAAACAGTCTTTAATTAGCTGCTTTTTCACACCTAAGATTAAGGTTGGGAGTCTTTTTGCTTGTCAAAGGTGCCATCCATAACCAGGATCCATTTGCATGGAAGTAAGCTCTGCTGAAACAAATAACTAGCTTAGGATCCGGTGCTGAGGAATCCTAATTGCAAGCGCTGAGCCTTCCATAGGTTTATTTCAATGATCCTTATTTCAAGAGTAAAAGTGAGCAAGAAAGCAACCCTTGAAAAAAAAATCAATCTACTTTCCTCAGTTGGGTGCTTTCCAAAGGGACTAAATTTTAACCAGCAAAAATTGCCATATTGTCTAGGGATGATGGGAAAATTGGAAGGTAACCAGGTTCACTCTCACTTTGAGAGTGGCAGAGAGGGATTGATCCATGTTCAGAATGAGTTTTTATACCTGGAAAAGTGTCTTGAAACTGGTGCTGAACGGAATTCCTTGGGGTTGTGTTTAAGGGTCCCAGGACCCCAGAAGTCTCGTTAATGGGTTCTAGAGACGTGAAGAACTGGCCGGACGGAGGCTGTAATGTGGGGACATGAACCCCGCTTGGGCGGCTGGCGGTTAATAAAGAGGTCAGATCTGTGGGCACAGGAACAAGGAGAGCTCTGTTACAAGACGAGCAGAATGGTGCAGGTCCCAACCCTCTCTACATACCTCGGCCACAGCCCATTGGTGGCAAGCCCTGGTGGCCTGTAGGGAAGTGGGGGGACTCCAAGGCCACCTTTGAAGGTTTGGAGACCCCCAACAGACCTGAAACTGACAAACTCCTCTGTGCACAAATGCCACTCTGAGGCTCACATCATGTGCTCCTCATCCAAGGCCAAAACTGAACTCTAAAATCAAGTCCAGTTCCATTCAAGACAAGCTGAAATCACCCCTCTGGTGACAGGTTAGGCCCAAACCAAGGAAGAACTTCTCCAGAAACCTCTTGGGTGCCTCTTTCAGCCTTAGATGCCACATGTCAGGCAGATGAGGGTGGCCATAAGAGCATTTTCTCCCTAGTTACATTTCCCATTTAATATAGCCATTTGTACTGCAGTGCTGTTGATCTGATTGGGGTAACCCTTCCCACTCCAAGGATAGGTGGAGGGAAGTGGAAAAACAAAGGAAGACTGAAGGGCTCAAATCCTGCATTATTTCAGGCAGGGCAGCCAAAGTAAGATATTTCTACAAAAAACCCTAACTGCTTTTCTTAGTTTTTTGTTTTTTGTTTTTTTTACAAATGTGAAGTAGCCACACTTAAAGTAAAAGGGCAATTCACATTTGTGACAGACCTTTATAGTCCATTCTCCCTTGCTTGATTCAGCACATTCTTTCATTGAACCTCTCTAAATTTGGTTGCAAAGGGACCAACAGATTGATTTACCTGACAGGTTAAAAAGCCCATGGATGTTTAACTACGGATTGGGCCAGTGGGCTTCAATCCAAAGAAACCAGTTTTCACCATGTGGGAGCTTAGGCCACCAACTCAAAAATTCAAGCTCGGGTTTTTTTTCCGATTGGGTTGGGTTGTTTTTTTGGTTTTTTTGCAGATTTGATGTGATCTTACAATTAAATCGCAGCTCTCCTGTCTGCCTCCTTATCTCCTGGGACATAAAGCTTTCTTGGGCAGTTTGCATTTCTCATAATCCACAAGGATATTTAACATTAAGTGCAATCAGAGATCATTTTCCTTTGGGTCATAAATATGCTCATCATAAGCAATAATGGTGACTTTGCTCATGAAGACAGATTGGTTCTCCTGTCTCCAACACCCAAATTAATCCATTCACAGATGGGCAGTGGAAAGCTACAAATGCTTACTCAGAAAGAAACCCCATTTACCTCAAGGGGGACTTATTCCCAATTTTGGGAGTCAAAAAACAGGTCTACATGTACCGACAATTCAGATACTATGTGACCCTAGAGAAAAGCCACTCAATTAGTTTAGAACTGCAACCTCCAGTCCAAATCAATGAGACTTACTTCCAAGTAAATACATTCTGGAAGGAAACTCTAGCCTGAATTTCTTCCAAAGATTTCTGAATTTTTAAGCAATCCAATTGCTCAACTGTTTGTTCCATTGAGCAACAACAGAAATATCCCAGCCGCAGCAGAGCTGTGTTGGGTTCCTTCCCCCAATTCTGGAAAGGGCTGATTTTGAAGTTACACTTGATTATGGTCAGATTTCCCACCCACTCCCAATCTTTTTGAGCTAATCTAAAAGTGTGGGCATTAATAACTGAAGATGAGCAAAACGGGTCCTTCTGTAAACTCTTTTCCCCACTTCAAACCCACCCTTCCTGCAGATTGTAAGCAAGGGTCCGCAACCTCACAGCAGGACCACATGGGGTTGACCTTCCAGTTGAACTGGGAAGGTTACATATATAGCCCCCTTCAAATAAAGAGACAGTACGGACCATCTATTCTAAAGGACTTGTGAAAAGACCCTGCAAGAACCGGAGACTATTATGCTCAAATTCTAAGAGGCGCTGCTTCTCTGTCCATAACACACACACACACACACACGTCCTGTTGCACATACAGTTTAAGAAAACAATTTCAGTTCTCCAGAAGGGAGGAGAAAGCAAAAAAAAAAAAAAAAAGCTAACCTCTCAGAGTGTTGCTCTCCTTCAGTTTCGGGTCGAACTCGGCAGACAAAATGCGATCAATCCCAAATTTCAAGTCTTTGCTAGAGGGAGCGGCTGCAGAGCCAGGGTGGGTCTGGCGGCTTTGCCCTCCGCCCGGGGTTCGTGCAGCCCCGCCGGAGCCCCCTGTGGGAGAGCGTTGGTGCTGAGGATGAGAGTTGTGGTAGGTAGCCGAGAGAGGTGACAGCCTAGTGGCGAAGGCGACTGAAGTGTCCGGAGCCACCATGGGGGTTGGTCTGAGCGGGGAAGCGGCGCCGCGGTACTGGGCATGGGCATGGATTCCACCTAAATGGGAGGCCAGATTAGCCGCGGTTCCTCCGGACAGGCCGTCCACAGAGGCTTCTCCTCCTGCGGCAGCGTGTAAGATGTCCGCGATGCAGAAAGACGGTTTCTTGAGCCCCGAGGGATCCAAGGAGAAACAGCCGCCAGCGCCGGGGCCGGCCGGGGCACAATATGCCGCCGACCACAGACTGAAGTTGGAAGCATAAAACGGGGCGAGTCCGGCAGTGTACATCCTGCCGATCCGGCGGCCACCCGCTCTTGTCTCAGCTCCTTTTAACCGGCCAGATGGACCCACAGACTGTGTGCTCCCACCGACCTGCCGCCAGTCAGCAAACCAGTAAGAAGTAAACTGCCCCCTTTTCTCTGGTCAGCCTGGAGAGCTCAACGCCGAAATGTCTCTTGGCCTGCTGGCCGCATCGTTGGAGGCGAAACGAGGCCACGCAGAGCTCAAGCCACGCGCTGCGAAAGCCAGGCGCGACAAACAAAATAACAACCCCCCCCCCCCCAAAAAAAAAACAACCTCGCGCGCGCACCCACATCCAAACACAAACACACACACACACACAAACCCCAGAAAAAGGAAAAGGGGGGAAAATGAAAAGTATCCACCCGCCCGCGACCCTTCAGCAAAATCAGCTTCCCAGACTCTCTTTTTTCCCCCCTCTACCTCGGAGAGAAAAAAAAAAAAAGAAAGTTTCTTCTGAGATTTGATTGGACAGGGAGCGGCCAATCAGAGCAGCAGAGGGATGGCCAAGAAAGGAAAGAAGGAAGGGGAGCAGCAAGCCACGCCTCCGCCATGCCCTCCAGTGTGTGACGGTTCTCGACCCTGCGAAAATCCGCGTTTCGGGGCTCTCCGTTCCCTGAACTGGGTCTCCCTCGAAACTGCGGGATTCTTACTAATTGATCTCGCCGGTCCTCTTTGCCCAAGGAAGTGGTGTAACTATGCCCGATTCGGAGCATGTAGCCCTCTTTATTCTTCACGATCCGTCCCATTTGAGCTTCAGAACCAGAGCGAGGCAGCGCCAAAGGCAGCTTGAGGCTTCTCTTCGGAGCCTTCTCGGGAAGGAGAGCAGGAGCCCTCGCGGCCGATGCAAAGAGTGGGCATCGCCTTTCCAAATGAATTACCAAGTCCTTTCTAACGGAGTAGGAGTGTTTAAAAAAATGAGGCGGTGTCATTCCCCTCCATTCCTGAATATGGAGGATCTGGGGTGTGGGGAGGATGGATCTTTCGTACGCAGCTCCTTTCGTTCTTTGGGTATAGGCTGGGACTGACTAGTGCCCGAAACTTCCGTGGGTTGCTGAAGGATCGAGTTGCTGTTTCAATGGATAAAGCACCGCAGCGAGCTCCTTGGATCTGTGGCTAGGCTGTTTCGAAAGGCAATTCCCGTAGGCCGGTGCAAACAACACAATCCGATTGTTTTATTTCGAAATGTGTGAGGCAACAAGGCCTGAACCTACAAAGATAGCACAAATAAATCCCCTGGATCTGGACTTCTGGAAGTGAAAGGAGATTTTGGGAATCCGATCCAGTCACAGAAACAAATACTAGGGAATTGTGATAAAAATCAGGAAGAAAAACTAGAAATAAATCCCATGTGGTCCAGAAGAGTTTGATATCTTATAATGAAGCTCAGAGCAATCACATTTATAGGTTAGATGGTTATCCACTCTTAATTTGAACCCTTGGAACAGAAAAGTAATCAGTGCTGATCTTCAAAAGAAACATGCCTTTTTTAATGCCAATTCAATCTCCAGCAATATAAGACTGGTCCCCTCCTCCCATTAATATTTTCTACAAAACAAATATTGCACAATTTTGTACAGTTAGTCTAAATTATTGCCTTTGAGTTTTAGATCTTTTTTTCTCCCTACAAAACCTATTATTTCTTCTTTAAAAGATTTTGAGTTCTGATTACCATCAAATAGGAATATTGCCTCATACAGAGACAGGATTGGCTACAGAGATAGAAATATTATGAAAACAGCACTTCTCTAAACTGGAGTCAGTGCCGAATATATGTTAATCATAAAATCATTTTTGTTATACGTTTATTTTAAAAATCAGGTTGAAATCTTACAGTCCAGAACTGAATGTTTGGACATTGGAGACAGAAATGTTTGCAACTTTTGCCTTTTCCCACATTTATCTTTTGTAAATATTATTTATTTGGCATATGATGAGAACATGACAGAAGAGAAGTAAACATATACAGTCGATGTAATTATACATAAAACGTGTACATGAGTATGGCAGTGGCCTCATCACCAGATATCCAATTCATATTTCTGAATATGAACATGCTACTTCTGCTTGTTAATTTCAAATAAATGTTTACTCAAATAAAATATTTTATATTCAGCATATAGAATAAAAAGCATAAAGCAAACCCTGCCCGGTCATTAGGCATTTTTTAAAAGTCCAAACATTCTGTGTTCCTAATATCGAACTATTCCTATCTCCAAGGCTTTTTTTTTTAAAGAACAGCAAAGATATTTAAATACCTTCCCACAATTAGCCAAATGCCTGTGCTTTGTTTTGCAATCTTTATCAGCCCCTCCAATCCTAATGGATTTTACATAAAGAGAATTTGATTTGGTTAGTGGAGTGGGCTTCTCCAGGGGATTCCCAAGTCAGAATGAAACCAACCCTTTCAAAAAATCTACAACGAATGTTCAGACCTGAAAAAAATATCCTACTCTTAAAATTATTGTCAATTTGATAGTGGTGAGATTGCTATAAAATCCCTAAACTTACAAATCACTTAAGGCTAGCAACTGCAGGGACACAAATCTTCACTGGGAACATCCCATTGAATTCATTCAGTAAAGAACATTTCAGAGGAAAGATATGTAGATCAGTCTTCCATGCAATTAAACTCTTTTCAGAAGTATGCCTAATGTTCTGTCCAGAATTATGGGCAGGAAGCCATCAATCTTATTTCATTTTCCACTTTGCAGCAATTACTAGAGGAAAAAACCCTGCCTCAGCCATCCTTGCAACAACATAAAAATCAACTTGTTATTTTCATATTGGCACATGTTATAAACTGGATAAATCTCTGAATGCGGTCATACAAATATTGGGTGAAACTTCAGATTCCAGAATAATTATTGTATAATATACATTCACTTTTTCTGGAAAGATGGCAGGGATTTATCTCCACCACTGACTAATCAAAAATCTCTTTCCAGCCCACTTTAGCTCAACTTCTCGGGACTTTGGACATCTTTGTTCAATAAATTTGATGGCAGAGGGAAAGGATTGCTGTTGTGACTTCTGCCTTTTTTCCAAAGAGCTAACTGACACTAGCAGAGGGAACATGCTAAAAAGAAAACTTGTTCCAGGAGAAAGAAAAAGCAAAAATCCATCTTCCCAAGTTTGGACATAAACATAATAAAGAAAATGATTTATCAACATCCATTATGATGTTTTTCTCGGTCTCTGAAAGACATCCCTTGCTGAATTAACCAGCCTCACTTTCAAAAAGGCATAGGAAGAGTTTGAGCAAAGTTATTAAGGGCCAGCTCTATTTATTGGGAAAGTAAATGGCCATGAAGCCAGGGATATTTCCTTCTGGTCCAGGTGGACAGAAAAATGTCTAGCTGAAGCTTTCATTTTAAGGGCAAATCAACAAATTTGGTTTTTTCTGCAATGATTTCAAAACAATGTTTTCAAAGCAGACTATGACCCTATAAGCAACAGATGGATTTTATTTATAATTACATCCACAGAAGTATAACAGTTACCTTTTTTTAAAAAAAACAGCTTTTTGAGGTTCCTGGGTGACAGGAGCTACCCACCAATTTTCTGAACAGGCCAATACTATATGTCCAACTGTGCACTGCCAGGCTTGCCCTACCTTCTCCTTCACAGCTCTTTTCCCAAATGGGCGGCATCATTCTCAGAGAAGCAAAGCTAGCAGGAGCATCTGTCTAAGCAAAGAGTGACTTTTGAGATGTCAAGTTCCAAATGGCAAGGGAAATGACATAGAAAGTCAAGTGGGTACCTGCTTAATTACTTAAAGCAGTAATTAATCTCCTTGGTGTGGACTGATACTATTGTTTTGTCTGGAAGGAGTCCGCCACCCAAACAGGCGAAATTAAATGCCCTCTGAAAAAGTAGGATTGCTTCTCCTTTTTTCAAAACAGATTCCACATTTTAGTTTGCCAGACAAAACTACTCCCTTGTCTCCTCTCCACTAGCCAGAACAGATCCTTCACTCCTCGGCCACTGTTTTTCCCTTTGAATGGTTTTTAAGACCATTTTCTTGTCAGGGAAAGTGATTTGCAACTGCCCAGCTTGCACTATGAGGGGTGGGAAGGGAAGCTGGAGCATTTCTGGATAAGGGGCCATCAGAAAGAAAAGTGGGTGGGGGAGAGAGACTCTGGATCAGCTCAGCATTTACAAGTTTAAGGATATCCAAAAATAACCCATAGGAAGTCCTCTCCCAAATAAGTTACAATAAAGAGTTAGACCTAAGGATGGGCCTCATGCCTTAAGGGACAGCAAGGGATTGTTACCCAGGCAATTCTTTGTGAGGTGAAACAATCAGTAGATACATGGTTTTTTAAAAAATACATATCTAGGTGGATTCTTACAGCTCACAATTATTGCATTACTGAAATCCACCTCTCTTCTCCAGACTAGAGGAAGAAAGCAACATTTGCCCAATTGAAAGGTTTTTCTTCAACATTATATGATAGGAGACATTTCCTCTTTCTCATGTGGTGCATAATTAAACTTGGGGAATTTGCTACCACAAGCTTTAGAAGCATACATATCTCAATTTTCATTAATTTCAGTTAAATAAAACTTTCATGTGCATCAAGAATGTTTCTCTAGTCCTCAGATGAAGATAAACAACAGCGATCAAGTTGGGATCATTTCAAAAAATCTCAACTGCCCACTGATAAAAGTAAAAACTTGTTTAGTTGGACCTCACAGACAATCTAAGGCAACTTATATTCTGTAAGTATATTGCCACTGAATTCAGTTGTGCTTGTTCCTAGGTATCCAATAGCTTTGTTTGTCCCACTGAACTTTCTTTTTAATATCTAAAATTGTTCAGCCTCTGCATCTGACTGAGAGGTCTTATCATTTTTCTTAGAAGTACCACATACGCACATATGAAGGACATGGAGATTTCCTTTCCCCCGTTGGAAAGTTTTCTGGTCTTCAAATTTCATTCACTATCCAAGTAAATAGTACAGTATGCATCACCTTGAAATTAAATCGCTCTAAATCTCCAGATGAGAAGTAGCCACACTAAAACTGGGGATCTTGTATGATAGCTCTCCCCCCAAAAATCTCTTTTAAGTGCACTAACAGATGCCAGATGCAAAAATTCTAGCTAAGGCAGAATATATTCTAACCATTAAGTAATAGTGTGCCGCTGAGCATATGTTGAATACAGAAATGTATTGTTGGTGTGAACATAAAAACTTTCTCCTGCTTTTCTCCTGAGAATTCTCTTTCAGCAATCTGAATTGTTCAAAAGCCATTTAGTTGTCCTATGGAAGCCAAAATTCCTGCCAAGCATC